CCTTTGCTGCGTATTATTCCCCTTCTCTCTCTCCCACCTTTCTTGTCTGTCCAGCTGTCTTATCAATAAGAACAAAAATGCCCAAATCTTTAAAGTGTATTATACCTAAAATGTTGCTCCTTACTGAGCTGCATAACTTCAAGTTCTGTCACTTCAAGTTAGATTCCTCTGCGTGTGCTAGATGTGGACTCAAACGCACACAGATTTGATGAGCAGGTTTATTATCTGATTAACTTTTTGTCACGTAGGACACCTGATAAAAATCTTAGCAGTGATATGTTACGCTTATCGTCTTAAGGTGCCTTCCAGCTGCTCTTGTGTGAGAAACTAAGTTTCTTTTGCTCAGTTGTGTACTTGTGCAGAACCTTCTGCTCTATAAATTGTCCCCTGATTAAACAACCTTTTTCATTGTTGCATTCCGTTTTCCCTCAGATACTCTGTGGATATTCCTCTGGACAAAACTGTTGTCAACAAGGATGTCTTCAGGGATCCTGCTCTCAAGCGCAAAGCCAGGCGGGAGGCCAAGGTCAAGTTTGAGGAGAGGTGAGTCCGTGTAGCTCTGTTGGATTCTCAAGTTCAGTGTGCATCATATAGACGTGTTCTGACTGGACCTCCAGAGGCCGTTCAGACACATAATGGCAGAACGGTGTCACTTGTAGCATCCAGAATTAAACCAGAGATATTGCCTTCACCACATGCTGTTCATTCTTTGTAGGATGGATAAATGTCTGTCACTTATACAATCATGTGTTTTGTGAATACATATAATAATCCTGATAACAAACATCAGAAATTGGATCAAAAATCCTTCCAGTGGCTGCAGTGTGATTTATAAATCGTAAGATTCTAGTTTAGATAAGTTGTCCCAGGTTTGATGCAGCCAACTGTGGTCACGTATCAGCAGATTCACTCCTCAGGTCTGTGATGTGTTATCAGAGCAAACGTGCTAAATGTGTGTTTGTTCTGTTTTCAGGTACAAGACGGGCAAGAACAAGTGGTTCTTCCAGAAGCTCAGATTCTAACTTTACTCGGTTTCACAAATAAATGTTTAAAAATGGATTTTGACTTTTGACTCTTTATTGACTTTTTTTTTTTTGTTTTGTCCATTGAATTATTTTTACCATTTCTGCCAAGTTTCCCAGTCAGGTAAAGACAGAGGTTGTGATGATCTGTAGATTCAGATGGATAATTGGTCCAGTTCCCACAATACTTGTGAAAATCCTTTAAAATGGATTTACTTAATGCTTTCAAAAGGTTCCATCATACGATTTAAAACAATCTTTGCTGTTTAATATATGAATATGAAAGTCAAACTGACCACTGATGGCATCGGATTTCAACCTTTTCTCTCACAGAATGTATTGACATGAAATACTTGTTGTATTGGAAGAAATACATTTCCACCTTTTTAAAGCAAACAAGAAGGAAAGTGTCCGCACACTGAGTTTAAGCTCCCGCTTTTATTTGGCTCAAAGCTGCAAGCTTTGGACCCTATCGGGTCTTCATCAGGCAAAATACGGTCTTTGGATGTGCGCACAGCCCTTCTTTGTTTGACACCTTTTAAAGCATCCATATTTTTTTAATTAAGCAGTTGTAAATCAGGTTGTGTAAGCAAATCAAATGGTAATACTTAGTGGACCTTAATAGTTCATCCTCAATAAAATAAAAAGTTGCTGCAAACTTAAACCTTACTTTAGGGCTGAAACTAATGATTATTACATTGCTGATTAATCTGTTGACTGTTTTCTCAATTAATCCAATAGTTGGTCTATAAAACATCAAAATAGTTTTTTAAAAAAAGAATACGTCCTCAAATGTTTTGTGTTGTCCCAATAGTCATTGAGGAATAAACAAAGCAGAACATTTTTCTTAAAAATTACTCAAGCCTATGAGTTAAGTTGGCACCTTATTTGAGACATCTAATGATTAATTTTAGGTCTACGGCTGACTTGACTATGTTAGGTTGAACTTTTAAGTGGACAAAAATTAGTGTGGTATTTGAATTAGACTAGCACGAAGCAGTTGACTTGAAAAAAGCACTGATTACATATGAAACTCTTAGTTTCTCAGTAATAATGTAACGATATCACAATAAATAGTCCCTGCAGTTCCTTAGCAAAACCCCACAAGCGTTTTCTTTTAAACATTTTTGAGTTGAAGAAGCAAATACTTATAACCTTAAAATTCTTTCAGAGCCTTCACTACATATAACACGAGTCTGGACGGACATGCGTGTAAACTGCAACCTGACCAGCAGATGGAACAGCAGTACTTCTAGATTATTTTTGGTCCAGCATCAAATATGAAAGCAGAGGATGTATTTTGTGTTTTGTGTAACATGGTTGCTCTCTTTAAACTAACTTGTGTTGTGTGATGATTACTGCAAGTGGTGCTTCATACAACTACTGCCTGTGCTTCTGTGGTGTTAATATATATATAAGCAGTGGTGGAGAGTAACCAAGCATATTAACTATAGTTTAGTTTTAAGGTACTTGACTAGGGTATTCATATTTTATGCTACTTAATGCTTTTACTCTACTGGGCAACATTCTTGTGACAACTTAAGTAACTTTTTATTTTCAGGTTATGAATTTACAAGTACTGAAACCAATTTTGAGGTACTTTCAGTTACGTATTTCCATTAAATGCTCTTTTATACTTAAACACCACTGCATTTTAAAAGCCAATATTGTACTTTATGCTCCACTACATTTATTTAATATCTTTATTTACTTTGCAAATTCTGATCGATAATACAAAATATAATCATTACCCTTGCAGTATATAGCAAATAAAGTAATTAAAATTAGCTCCACCTTTGCCAGCGGCAACATTAAAGTGCATCAGTAAATATAATCCCATAATCAAATGTTTATTTTTCCCGAAAAAGGCCATTCTGCATGCTGAGTACTTTTTTTTTTTTTGAAACTTTACTGAGTTTAACAGATACAAACATTTCCAAGTCCTGTAGCTCAGCTTTCATCTGCGTTAGGTTGAGCCAAGAAAAGTGATCTATATGAAACTACGAAAATCGAATAATAAAAGAAAATAACTAAACATAACATACATACAAATAACACAGAAACAGGGCTATCTCAAATTAATTTGAGAATATATAGTGATGGAAACAGTTGAAGACTTCTTGTCTTTAACAAGTTTTTTTAACTCATTCTTCCAATGGTTCAGACAGGGTTCAGTCTAAAGTATCTACATTTATGAATAAAAAACTTCCCCAGTAATAAAACAATATGAAGAACAAAGTCCATATCCTTTTTTTCAATGCAAACACCAAATTCGATTGTCTCCCCTGTCAAAGGTGACATACCAGTCTCCCTGGACTGTAGCCAACACTGCATATCCCTCCAGAGGGATCGCACTGCATCACAATAAAAAACACACATTACCAATTTTTAACTTCCATGTTACAAAATGTACAGTTATTGGCATCACAATTAAATCTTAATCTTAAGATTTTGTTTTTGGGATAAATTTCGTTTAAGATTTTCAAAGTCACCTCTTTCACCTTATAGGATGAAGTGGAAATGAGATATATCTTTTCCTCATTTACTAAACCTTTTCAACATCAAATCCGGTAAGAATATAATTCCTTCTTACTGGGTTTGGGAAAACAGAAAGGTTATAATATTGATGTTATTACATTTATTGTCACGGAAGTCAAGTCCTTCGATGCAAAGCTGTCTCAACCCAGAGACCTCAGAGTACAGAATGTCCCCTTTGACCTCTGATCTCAGAGAGAGTAGTGTGGCTTTTATCAGTCTAATATAGTCCTTAACAAAACACTGGAGTTGGAATTTCTCTTGGAGTCCTCATGCTGTAACACATTTCCATTAACAGCACAAATCCCTTTGGAACTCCATTCCTCTACACAGGTTTTCCACTGAGCAGTATGTATCTGCTAGTGCTGTGTGGTGTGAAATTATGTTTATTATCAGTTTCCAAGGACCTAATCACAACGTAGCAAGAAGTCTATTCCTCCCATTTTTTAAGCTCACATTGGGGACAATAAAACAAAAGGAGTAACTATTATTGATAACAGATACATTCCAACTTCAGGACACCAATCATGGAATCAAAATCAATGACATTTGCACCTCCTTCTTCATAGTTTTTCACCATGTCATTCTTCCTTATGTAGCTACTGACAATTATTTTCTATATGAATTTGAAATTGTCATTATTTATTGATTTAGTCATTCTCGCTGATATACACCGATCAGCCAAAACATTAAAACCATTGGTGGGTGAAGTGGATAACAATTGATCATCTTGTTACAGTGCAATATTCCATTGGGAAACCTTGGGTCCTGGCACTCATGTGGATGCTACTTGACGCGCAACACCCACCCGAGCAGGACAGTGCACCCTGCCACACCACAAAAGTTGCTCAGGAATGACCCGAAGATCGGGACAAAGAGCTCAAGGCATTAACCTGTCCTCTAAATTCCCCAGATCCCTATCTGATGGAACATCTGAGGGACGTGCTGGTACCCCAGAGGTACCCCCGATCCACAGTGGTTCCTCCTTGGACTGGACTTGGCTCGGACCTGTCAGTGCATGGACATTGGACCTCTGAGGGGTGTCCTATAGTGTCTGGCACAAATGTGTTGGCTTCAGATCTTTTGAGTCCTGTGAGTTCTGAGGTGGGGTAACAACACATCCCACAGATGTTTGACCAGATTTGGATCTGGGCAATTTAGAGGCCAGGTTGACGCCTTGAGCTCTTTTTCACGTTCCTTGGGCCATTTATGAGCAGTTTCACCTCCTTCTTAATCCTGGTGTTATATAATGGCCGCAAGGGATAGTCATGTAACATTAATATTTCACATTTATCTAAATTAAGTTGCATTAGCTCAATGCTAATATTTGTACTTTTCACTTGCGGTGCTTTGCGCTTGTAATGAAAATGACCAATCTCTCCGAGAGCACCTGAATGCAGCACACGGCTGCAGCGCCCTCTGATGGAGAAACCAGACGCGTTCACGGTTTCTCTCTGAAGCTGGGAAAGAGAAACTGAAAGAATGAACGTGACTTCACAGCACAGATCGTCGACTTAAGGTAGGTTGTCTCACCAACTGCTTATTAATAAAACCTAAAAATGTGTTAAGTTTGGTTCAATACATCAATACAACGATATCTAGACAGTTTGTAGACGTCAGAAGTTTTGTTGAATGTGACGTATTTAAAGTTATTCTCACGTATTTAAAGATATTTTAAGTGTTGTTGAGACTGACGTTTGTTTATGTGACAGCAGGGCCTACAGAGTATCGATACGTTTATAGTTTAACAGTGATTGTCCTCAGTGACACACACTGTTTTGTCAGGCATTGTGTTAATATACACTGATTGTGACCGACAGCATGTAATAAGTGTAGTCTAATATTTTGTGACTCGTTTCAGATTACTCTGACTATGTCTTCAGATGAGGTGAGACGTCATTCTGCTTCCTCATGTTTTCATGTATCTGTAATGTTCGTGTGACAAACATTATCTCTGTGGGCTGACCTGTTGTTCTCAGCATCACTGAGACATTCCTGCTGTGTTTTGCATTTGATCACATTATTGTGATCAGTGGTGGAACCAGTACTCAGATCTTTAAGTACAAGCAGATATACTACAGTTCAAGTGATACTCTTACAAGAATAAGAGCTGCATTCAAAAAGTGAAAGTACAAAATTATTAGCATCAAAATACTCAGTAAATAGAATGGCCCATTTCAGAATATTACATTTTATATTATGAAAGTAAAATACATTGTGTATGAATTTAGTCGACTTAATTATTTTCCACCACTGATTACAATGCTGCTGTCACTTGTAAGATTATTAAACTCATCCTCATAAAATGTCTCCACTGCCTTACACACTCTTGTGGATCAATAATATTAATATAAACAAATATGAGGTGTATGTTTATTGTGTCTTGTGTTTCAGGAGTTCTCTCTTGTGGTGGAGCAACCACAACCATCCGAGGACACCTTGGAGGGAATCAAGGCTTTAATCACCAACTACAAGGTGCACTGAAACTCAACATTTATCAGTATTAAAGTGCAGCTTGCAGTGTGTTCTTATTGTTTTAACATAAAATATACTTTACCCTGTGGTTGAATGAGTAAAAGATTTCTATGCATGGAGCAGCACATAAGATATGAAAAATAGAATGCATTAAATAAACCTGAAGATAACTTAAAGAAGGGAAATTTAAAGGGAAAATGTTAGTGAACGCAGCTTATTGTGTTCCCAGAAAAAATACGAACAGCTGATCCAGGAGCAGAAGGAGCTGACCACCTCCAGGGATGACAGCCGGGCAATGACGGACAAGTGCAAGCTGCGCTGTGTCAAACTTACCCAGGATCTGAAAGTAGACGAGCACCGATATGAAGAGCAGATTAGAAATGAAAAGGTATGCTAGTTTAACCGTCAAATTGATTTTTTTTCTGTTATTGTTAAGTGACATGAATGTTTGAGCTTCACTCTGCAGCACTGGTGGAAATGTATCTAAGTGCATTACTCAAGTACTCTACACAAGTACAAATTTAAGTTACTTTACTTGAGTCTTTTGTGCTTATACACTACATTTATCCGACAGCTTTAGTTACATTCGTTAATGTTTGCACACAGACATAAGAAGAGCTCGAACAATATGATGTTTTTTATAAATTAAACTACCCATCAGAAAACACAAGTACGGCAATCGATCCGCTTCTATACTTTTGTTCCGGTGGAAGTACAAAAATGAGGAAGTACAATCTGCAGTTTGGGCAACAGCCCATTGCATTTCACCAGATTTGAGCTGAGAGATGAGCAGTGAGATGTTGGTATGGGTAAGATAGAGGAAAGTTTACCATAATTCATTTACACATACTGCCCAAATAGTTATGACACAAAGCTGGTTGAAAATCCAGTATCCCTTTAACAAATTGTGATTTTGAGGTAATGCCAGGTTGCTTTTCCTCAGTACATCGTTGAAGCTTAAGTTCTTCTCTCTTGCAGGCTAAGCTGAACTTGATGATGCAGGAGGAGGGCGAACTGATGAAGGATATCCAAAAAGTGGAGGAAGCTCTGAAGGAGGAGGCGGCCAGACACAGTCACCTGAAGCAGCAAACTGATGTATGTTTATTAAATCAACAAGCTGACACCTGCAGTCAGCCCATGACACGTCCAGTAAACCTGTCACATTTGATTTCAGGTGTTCACTGCTGTACCAGAGAAGAAGGTCGTCTTCACTGGGGAAACAGGAAATGGAGCCAGTGCACAAACATTTGAAATGAAGCCACATATAGTTTACCCGATGGAGGGCGGGACGTCACTGATTACATTTGAGGAACAAGTGGGTGAGTTTGGCTTCAAGCTGCCAAAAGTGTGTTTTCATTCATCTGCACTTGTCAGAGAAAGAATCAGTGTGTTTTTGAGGCAAGATAACCCTTCTAGCTTTTTAATGCTCGTTCCCAGTGAATTATCTGAATGGAAAATACTGCCATGTTTTATTACTTTAGGCTGGTAGTGCTGATATAACCCCTGTGTTCTCTCCATCATCAGTGGCCAGAAAGATCCTGGACATGCAGAAGCATCAGGTGGACCTGGGAGCAGAGTGCACCATCACTGTGGAGGCCAGGCCAGTTCAGCTCATGCTGCCCAGGCTGGTGGAGGTACAACAGAGAGCGTCCTTTACTCGTCATTGAGCTGTGAACATTATCAATATCATTTCCTGTGAGTGATCTGTGCCCGTCTGTCCTGCAGATAGACACAGAGGTGAATCCTCAGCAGATATTAATCTCAAACCTGCCTGAGATGGAGACCGAGACGCTGCTGAACAAGCTGGAGATCCACTTCTCCAAGACTAAACACGGGGGCGGAGAGGTGGACAGATGTGAACTGCTGCCTGACTCTGGGACTGTGGTCCTCACATTTGTGAGAAATGACAGTAAGCAAGCTTCTGTTCTTAATATCTTAGATGTTTATGGTTGTGCTAATTTTAGCTCCTTTATGTACTGTTGGGTAGTTTAATCTACAGCAATGCATCCTAATCTATAAGATCATCATGTGTTTTTTATGTTCTTTTCTACTATCAGTTGCCAGAGGTTTGACAGATAAAGAGCATCACGATGTGGAGCTATCACAAAAGAAGAGGCACAGAGTGAGGGTGACTCCTTTTCTCAACGGAAAGATTACAAACTTAAAGGTGAGCATTTGTTAGAAGAAAAGAAGAGAGTTCCGATGTCACCACTATCTTTCAAAATGTTGGACTTCTAATAGTATTGTTTCCCCTTTCCCTTCCAGACCAAGATGTCGGTGTGTCCTCGGACGGTGCTGCTGACGGGAATCCCCGCCATCATGGAGCAGGAGACCCTGCAGGATCTGCTGGAAATCCACTTCCAGAAAAGCGGCAACGGTGGAGGAGAGATCGAAGCCTTCCTCTACAACCCATTAGGTCAGAACACCTGGGCCCTGTTTGAGGGCGTCTCCACAGACAGAGAGGAGGAGTAGGATGTACATTTGTCACCTCTCAGGTTCAGGGTGAGATCCTGTGATGTAAAGACAGCATTAGCCCTGCATTTGTTTTAGTCTTATATTCTGTTCTCACATCTTTTGTAATGGAAGTCAGTGTAATTAAAGAAATACTTCAACCACACAATGACAGTTTTTGTATCAGTTACACACGTGTTTTGTCTCTGCACAAGCTGAGCCCAAATGCACGAGTGTCCAGGCATGCTCAGGGCGCTTCTCATATGTGGAAGCATTTTATATTGTGAAATTTTAGCATATACATGTGTTTCACAAGTACTGGTCATATGACTGGATTATACTGCTTGAGTTGTGTGAGAGATTGTAAACGGAAAGCAGACCCTGAAATTCATGTAGAAGGAATCTTTTTGGGAGTTTTCCTCATTAATTCAAGGTAACACAGACTAACTGACAAACAAAAGGTCATTTTGTGGTTGAAGTATTTTTTTAACTTCTTATCTTGGGATGTTTTTTGGCATCAATAAACCTGCCGGTCATTTTATTCTTGAACAAAATCTCTGATTCGTGTTACTGTAAGGAATGTGAAGGTACATCACACTGTGTAGGACGGAGGCATCATCTTTGAGGCAGTTTTCTCAGTTGCCCAAAATGTATGCCAGTCCAAAGTCTGACAAAGTCCAAAGTCCAAAAACGAGATGGTTTATAATGTCTGGGTGTGTAAATGGAGATTGGGGTCTGTAATCCAGCCTTGGGCTGCTAAGTCATATGGATCTATGATGTTATATCATATGTAGTTTGTCTAAATACATTGCTTCACCACTGTGGCAGGCACAGGTCAACAGTGTGTCCCCACAAGATGGCGCCACATCTCAAAAAAGTGAACACATTGTGACATCATCTTCACAATCTCTATCTCTAAAGTGTTCTACATTCATACACAAAGTATTTAATCTTTTTTGCCTAGTTACTTAAAGATATAAATGAATGGTGATGAGAAATACATTGTAATTAATAATGAAATAAACCCATTAATCAACAAGGCATCTCTATCTCAGCAGTCTTATTACATAAAGATATAAACATCCTGCTGTAACACATTATTACTTTGTCTATTTTGGCTCAATGAAATTATTTTTTTGTGAAATATAGCTCACACAGTTTGTTGTGGAGAGATGATGCTAACCAGTTAGCAGATGGCTAGCGTAGCTTAGCACGACTGTTGACTGGGAATAGCTAGTTCTGTCCAAAGGGTAAAGAAATGCTTACAGCAGCACTTCTAAAGCTCACTGATTAACACATTACATCTCATTTGTTAAGTCCATACAAAAGCCAAAGTGTAAAACTGACAATTTGCCAGGCAACTTGCAAACAGAGACACCAGAAAGTTAATGCCAAAAAAGCGTTCAGTGCAGAACACTCCTGTAAAAAGGCCAATTGTCACTTGTACACTAGTGTTTTTGCATGTACTATATGCAGATATATGTTAGATATAACATATTATTGAGCTTTAGAGCTGCTGGTGGATTTTTTTAAAATGTGACAGAGCAAGGCTAGCTGTTTCCACTCTGTATGCTAAGCTAAGCTAACTTGTTGCTGGCTGTAGCTTCATATATATCTGGTAGAATGGTTTTTATCTTCTCATCTAACTACTACCTAATCTAAGCAAGAGAAAGAATATATGCATTTCCCAAAAAGTTGAAAAATTATTTGCTATGGGTAAATAAAGTCTTGAGGTTTGAAGGTTTGAATTTCAGGTAAAGATTCTTATGTGAAACTGGAAAGGTGTAAGTATGAAATGCACTTTTGTGGTAACCGTTGATTTTTCCAATCAAATGAAGAGTTCATTTGCAAAAAATAAAAGCCATTCTTGAAACAGATAAGGCAGTTTGATATTTATGGAGCCTCTAAAATCCCGAAAGGTGATTTTTTATTTTTTTTTATCCTGTGCGCACAAAGTTAAAATAAAAAAATCATCAAATTACCTTTAGTCCATAATAAAATTAAGAAAGATTTATTTAAATTTTTTTCTGCTCGTCATTCTCTAGTTTGCACAAAAAACGATGACTTCAAAAAATAAATAAAAATGATAAATAAATAAGTTTTTTTTATTTGCAATTTAACACTTCAGGTTTCCTGAAAATTACAATTGATCAAAAGAAAAACAACTCAAGTACAAAAGAGACTGGACTCAGATCAGGTTTATTGTAAAAACATTACAGCCGAGTAAAAGTAACAGCACATTAAAAAAAAAAAAACAAAACTAAAAATAACTAAAAGCTGACAAAGTATCCAGCTACATCCCCTAGTGCAGACACTGGAAAACAAACAACAGCAGCTGAAGATCCACAGAACAACAAGCTAACAGACTGAGGTCAGGCACTTAGACGGAAGAGAGGAACAGGTGGATATAGTATGTGTGTAAAAAATAACAATACATTCAAAAGTGAGGAAAACCAGAGAGGGAAGGACACAAGGCCCAGACTACAGCACAGTACTTTGGAAGACGGTCGGCCTAATTTCACATCAAGACGAGGGAAAATATGAATTTAAAAACCCCTAAGAGAACAACACTATTTGTTGCCATAGTGATTACACACAAACGAGTCACTGCCAGCATGTAACAGTCCTTCTCTTCTACAGCGGATCGTCCTATCATTAGACCTTCTTAATCTCAAGCTTTCATTTTTTAGTGCAGTCTTCACAAGCAAAACCAACGACACATAAAACCCACTCCTGTTCCCTCCCTTACAAAGCTGAGTCACACTCAAGATACAAACCTGACAATGAACAAGGTCAGTGCAAACTGTGGTGTCAAAGTGACGTGGCCCCATAAAAACTAACAGCAATACTCTCTTAGATCATTATGTACACAACGGAAACAAAACTCTATCCTATGTTGCATTCACAGGTATTGATCACATGTAACAGTTAAAAGGTTTTTGGATAAAACACCACAGGTTGTTGCAAGTAGTACAGGTTATTGTTGATAGAACTTTTTTCCTGTTGTGAAATACATTTTTTTTTTTTTACATCTGTTGATGAGAAACAACATGTCCACATTGTGCTGCCAGTTACTTTCCTAAACATCAACTATATATAGCTGCATTAATATTGCAAATATTTCACCTCCTATGATTGAAATATGTCAGTTTGTGCCTTTTTGGTTAATGCCAAAATGCAGTGTTAGTAAAAATGAATGTTTGTGCTATTAAATATAAGCAGTGTCCTCACAAGGAAGTAATCCAAGTGAATACGAGGACAAGCACTTCAATGGAGTGTATCCTTTTAGCAAGTCGACCCAATTAGATTTGAATGTGCTCGTGCTAATACATCACCAGCAGCCACATTTCATCATCTGGCTGCTTGTAGTTTTATTTATGTTTTTCCTGCTTTGCATACCTCATCGTTAAGGGTCATGTCAAGTCAAAATGTTGCATATCGTTGTTAATATTGCTTTCCAAAGCGAGACATTTTCACCACAATCCGTATTCCTATGAGAGTCCATGCAGAGAGAAACCTGTTAAAGTTGCCTGAGAAGGCCGACAGAGAGGCATCCGTCTCCTCCGTTGGTAAGTAAGCAGGAGTGCATTAGTGGGTTGAGAGTTTGGGGGGTGGGGGGCTGCTTGTCCAAACTAGAATAACAGGACTAATTGTTGATACAACTGGCATGTGCAATAAGGCCGTTTAAACGACCAGTGGTGCCCATTCGCTTGCTTTGCGTCCGTACTGGAAGCAAGGAGAGAAGAGAGGAAAGAAAAAAAAAATGAATAAGTGCAAAATGTTTTATTTGTTGCTTTGAAATGTAAAATTTAAAGCTGCACTATGAGAAGTTTTAAAGTAAAGATACACCTGCTATAAAAGTTATATTAGGAGCTAAAACTGCAACAACTGGCGTTCTGTTGTTTGATAAGTCAAGAACTGATACTCTTTGTTTTTTAACAGGAAATAAATCTGCAACTATTTTGATGATCAATATCGTTTCAGTCATTTATGAAACAAAAATAGTGGAAAAAAATCTCTCATTTTTAGGAATCTGTATCATGAACTGGTAGTGAATTGGTACTAGTTCCTGACTGGTCAATACCAAAATAAAAAAAAAGATCCAAACAGCGCCACTGTCAGTAACATTAATTCATTCTAACATAGCAGTGATGATAACAATGACGAAGCTGCTGGCGTCAGGCAATTACGTTTGATGTAGCGTCACTGCGGTTTTACATTTTGTGCTCTCCACTCATGGCTGACAAGGATAGATGTTTTAAAGGTGGGCTCACTTCACTAACTTTAATGAAAATGCAGTTAAATGCAGTATATGAAGGTAGGAAGGTATTGCGTGTAAAGAAGGTAACACCAGCCAACTCGTGACACACAAATACAACATTTAAGTCTAAAGCAGATGAGCGTGTTTGACTGCTTTAGCAAAATGGCTGCTACACCCATGTCCTCAGTGCAGCCTCCAGGCAACAATGCTGATGGGATTTTCCAAACTAAATATGCGAGTGTCTCAACCTCATCAAGTCAAGGTCACACACATTATCATTATTTTAAAAAGTCTGTTGTTTTAACTGAGGACACAGTTAGCATCATTTTGAAGCACTTCTAATTTATGTTTCTAAATGATCTGATGCATTCGTAAATCCAATCTGAAGCGGCACACTAAAATTAGATATGAATTATCAAATGGTTTAGTAAAATCAGTCGCACTCAGCTGCTTCATCTGTGCCCAGATTATGCTCTGCCACTCTGATTGTGGTGCTCTGAATAACCGAATGGTACATTCCAACAGCGCTCCGAATGTACAAATGGTTCACTTTGTGCCACGGTGCGCTCAGAGTGACTTTTTATGAATGCACTCTGGGCGGTCCTGACAACCAGAGATAACTAATTTTGTATTGCTTATGGTTATTAATATTTACAACTATAGGGAGATGACCACAGCTTAACTCTGCTATAATAACTGTTGAATCTAATCATGTCATATCTTTATTTTTTACAACAAACTATGGAGAGTAGAATCAACAGGAGTGTCAATAAGAATAAGTTTGGATACTCAGTATGAATATCAGTATTAATAAAATCCTAATGATACCTTCTAGTTGCAGTTTCTCCAGTGTGAGGAGTTGCTGCTTTACTCTGTTTTATATAAGTTGTAAACTGAATAATAATGAGGTTTTGGACTTTTGGTAAAATGCAACAAAATATCTTAAAGTATGATAAGGCTTTTTTCACTATTTTTTTCTTCATATTTCATATTGTAAACAAAAATTCAAAACAATTTTCTGCATTTTATGAAAACAGTCATTTGTGCAGCCTTGATTTAGTTACTGAATGTTAAACTGAACATCATTATATGTCCTATACAGCAGTGAGAAAGTTGTTTTTTCTCCTGTCACATGTCTTTTTTGTTTCTTTTTTTCTAATATAAAAATGTCTTAATCACCAGCCAGGTTAAAACTGAAGGCATATATTTTTGGATATCTCTCCTACAGTTCCCTGTTGCTGCCACTTGGAGGCGCCAACATTCATATTTGCCTGCAGCAGCTTAAAGAAGCCATGACATTGTGTATGAAGTGCACTTACCTGAATATCAGTAAGCTCTTTGTAGAACCTCTTTGCCAGGTCCGGACCGTTCTGCATAGTCGGGATCTGGTACGTCTGAGAGAGAGGGAGAGCAGTCAACACTGACTTTACAGTTTTGTTGTTACAATTACCCAAACAGATTTACAATCAGTGTGCTTACATGCATTTAAGTTAGCGGATTACAGTCTGCCTCTTCAGTAAGCTGATTTATTACACATCATTTCAAATGAGGATGGGAGTAAACACACTCAATGAGTCCAACAGCCACATGAGAAAATAATAAGCATAGAGTGGGATTTTAGTAAAAGACGATACAGAATAGCATCATCAAATCTGGCAAGAGGACACGACTAGGACACAACAGACGGTGAACTCGTACCTTTCCTCTGTAGAGGAGGCTGCCGACAGGACACACGACGCAGGCTGTCCCCGCTCCAAACACCTCCTGGATCCTCCCAGCATCCAGAGCCCCCAGCAGCTCCTTCATACCCATTGTGCGCTCCGTTACCTTGAACTCACCCTGAAAGACACACAGGAAGTAATGAACATCAAGTTTAATGATCTATTGCAGACATTTCAGACCGTTTAAAATACTCCTTAAAATAAAGAAATATCTGTCTGTGACTGTCATGACAAGTAGTTAGCAGTTCAACCAAAAAGTGTTTGTCCCCTTAGCTTTATTTTAATAATTCTGAGAGGTATTTTGAGAGGAACTTTTTTGGAAATGCCTCTTTGCAAATCTGACTCACACTTTGGTTACATTTTTGGAAACTTAAAGGAGCACAGTGAGATAAATTTTGCGGACAATGTGTTGAATATGAACTTGCCCATGTAATTAATGATACTGTGTGCTAATAAAACATCTGTGTTAAGGTGTAAGTGATGGTTTGTGTTTGGTCTCCTCTCCGGTGGTCTTACCCAGCCTCTGGCCAGGTCCAGCAGAGACTGCCTGGTGACTCCTGGGAGGATGATGCCATCCAGAGGAGGGGTACACAACTCTTTCTCTGCGCACACGCGCACACACACACACACACACAGTTTTATAAATTACAATAAATGGAAAACCCCAGGAACAACCTGTATTTCTGTGTCTCATGAAACAAGACAGAAAAGGTCTGACCTCCTTTCTCATTGGTCCAGTAGATGAAGAGGTTCATGGTGCCGACCTCGGTGATCTCCTCCTGCTCTCCATACAGCCACAGGACCTGCTGACAGCCACGCTTCACCGCTTCGTTCTGCACTGCTATCGTAGGACCGTAGTTACTGTAAAGAAAGAGAGCTAAAATTAACCAAAG